CAAACAAAAACCAACATCCACAGGCGGGATTTTTCTTCTCTACTCTGCACCGCCGGTCCTCTGTCTTCTTGCCTCCGTCCTGGCGGCCCTTGCGTGTTGCCTCCGTGTTTCCAACTCCACTGGGCACGATCACTACTCCCTGCTCCCTCCACTGCAGCATATGGCGGCCCTCAAATCGGACATCCGGTGGCCTTCCGCTTCAGCTCCTTGTTTTCTTGCCTTTAGCACACTTATCTCTGCTCGCGCATCCTTATACATGCGTTGGAGCAGAGCAGCTGGGAGTTTAACTGTTGCACCTCATTTGTCCTGCTCTGCAGCCGGTGCGACAAGTTTGTGACCGCAGTCATGGTTTCCACACATGACTTCAGAGTATACTGATTGGCCTCAATCCACTGCACGCCATTTTTGCTCCACGACCGCATCGGAAAGTTCAACGGAGCAAAACCAGAGGTGTTTGGTTGAGGTTCACGGGCCCCACACCAGTTATTTCTCTTGTGACTCGTTGAGTCGGGAAGAGGTGAGTAGACCACGGATGGAGGCCATATTCTGGATAGCTGACGGGAAAAGAGGGCCATGTTTTTGGGTTGCTGAGTGTTTCAGCGATGCATTTCAGATGTAATGTCGAAGGGAGTGTTCAAGATTCCTCTAGAGGCAATTTCAGGAATTCTCTCTCAGAAGAGAGTTTTTCAGAAGATTTTCAGGTTTTTGCTCGCTCTCAGCCAGCTCCGCATTGTTTATATGACACTGACGAGGGCCGACACGCGCCTCTGTCGCTCACGTGCCTCGCCGCGTCTCCGGCTCACCTTTTGATGGCTGACGCTTTCTGTCGGGCACGACTTTTGATGAAGTGGGCGCGCCTTTTGAGGGCGCAACTTTTGATGGCACGTTTTTTTATGGATTGGGCACGCCTTTTGATGGCACGCCTTTGACAGATTGGGCACACCTTTTGAGGGTGCGACTTTTTTAGGGAGTCCGACAAGACTCTGTAAACTGTCCCGACATTGATTCCGGTTAGTCTTCATGGGTCCGACAAGACTCTGTAAACTGTCCGACATTGATTCCGGTTAGCTTCTTTATGGGTCCGACAAGACTCTGTAAACTGTCCGACATTAATTCCGGTTAGCTCCTTATGGGTCCGACAAAAGACTCTGTAAACTGTCCCGAATATTGATTCCGGTTAGTTTCTACAAGGGTCCAGCAAGACTCTGTAACTTGTCACAACATACTGTCACAACATCTGTCATGCTACACAAACGGTACCGACATGACCCATATAAACTGTCTTCTACATTCGGTCTGACACAATATCAGTGTCTTCTACACCGTTATGACACCACCATACAGTGTCCTCTACATGACGTTACTGAACACGCCCCATACAGTGTCCTCTACAACGTTATACACCACCCATCCAGTGTCTTCACCAATGGTCTGACAGACCATACATGTCTTCTCTATACTCTTTTATTTTTATGTAATTTTTACTTGTTTTCGTTACCTCTCTCCCAATAACTCAAGTTGGTTAGTTCCTATCCCCTTGAGTTTGTGGGGGCTGTATAAACCTATCAAACTATCTTCCTACTTCAACCCTTAAACTAACCCTACACACTACCATCACACTATCCACTAAACCTAACCCACTACACCACTACCACCTCACCTACTCCACTAAACCTAACCCACTACACACTACCACCATCCACTTACCACTCCACACCACCTACAACCACCTACTTTCTATATATAGAAATTGTAATACAAAAATATACAACACAATAATACATCAATAGATACATATTCCTGTATTTCCTCTCTTTATACATTGATTTTTACATCTATATATTTATTATCATATTTTCCCCTATCCCTACCATTGTTAGTTAGAACATCACCATTTTCCCATTATCTTCTTCTTATTTTTTTTTTATATTCCAACACACAAAAAAAAAAAAACCAATCACACCATGGTTTTTTCATATCACTATCTCCACAAATATTTTTATCTATTTTCTTTCTCCATTGTTTTTTCTTTTATTTTATTTTTATTCCTTCACCAAAACAACAACACAAATAACACCACAACATTCCACAAACTTGTCATTTCTTCATGCCGGGATCAACCCGATCACAATTTTACACCCAAAAAAAAAAAAAAACAACCAACAAAACCACAAATTTTTTTTTTTTTTTTTATGTAAAATGGTGATCGGGGTTGATCCCTGAGATGAATAAAGGATAAGTGTGTGGAAAGAAAACCGAGTCGGAATGGATTGGTTTTTTTTTTTTTTTTTTTTTTTTTTTTTTTTTTTTTTTTTTTTTTGGTGGTGTTTTGTTTAAGAATAAAAATAAAATGAAAGAAAACAAGGGATAAAGAAAATAGATAAAAAATATTTGTAGATGGATTATATGAAAAACATCAGTGTGATTGTTTCAAAATAAAGTTGGGGTTAGTGCCCCTGCAAAAGATATATTATTGGAGAGTGGGTATTTAAAAAAAGATTAAAAGTGATTTGGAAAAAATAAATAAAAATAATTGTTTTTGAAATCAAACAGAGGAGAGAGAGGGACAAACCCACGTGATAAAGTGGAGAGAGAGAGAATCCAAGACCAAGGGGGCCACTAGAGTGATAGCCACAGTAGCCTCAACCAACACCATCATCATTGCCTTACTGTTCAGAGGTCCATTGCGAAGATCCAACGGCCTAAGTCTCTGCTTCAACACCAATAACAACAGCAGATTGGTTCCTAAGAGGAGGTCCTTCACTTGCACTGCTCTTTACAAGCCTGAGATTTACATCAAAGAAGAAGGCCAACCTCAAACCCTAGACTTCCGAGTCTTCTTCCTCGACAATTCCGGCAAAAAGGTTTCTCCCTGGCATCGTCAATCCCATGAAACTTCTTATGGGAATGCAGGAGAGTTTCACGTTGATTATGCAAATCTTGAAGGATGGAGACACCAAGCTCTTCTGTCTCCAGCGTACTTCTTCTACTCTCCTTGATCCTGTCGCTTGACTGATTTAGTCTCTCGGTTGACATTGCCAATCTTTCTCTTTGATCCACAGAAATCACATGTGCATCTGCAATTCCAGACTTCAACAACTCTTCACGGACCTGATTAGCATCATTTGATGAGATTTTCTTAACTTCCCTTTTAACCTTATTTAGATCAGCCTTGTATTCCCTTAGCTTGGCAAGCAGGACAACCTTCAAACTTGGCTGCAAACTTCTTGCCTCAAGATCCATTTTTCCTATCAAAACATCAGCTTCATCCACTCCAGTTTTTATTTCAGAAATCTTTTGCATCTTTTCCTCTCCATCAGGAAGAAGACCAGCAGAGTTACATTTTTTGGTGTAAAATTGTGATCGGGGTTGATCCCGGCATGAAGAAATGACAAGTTTGTGGAATGTTGTTGGTGTTATTTTGTGTTGTTGTTTTGGTGAAGAATAAAAATAAAATAAAAGAAAACAATGGAGAAAGAAAATAGATAAAAATATTTGTGGAGAAGTGATATGAAAAACATCGGTGTGATTGGTTTTTTTTTTTTTTTGTGTGGAATATAAAAAAAAAATTAAACGTAGACAGTGGGTGTGTGTGTGTAGAGGTCCGGCGGGCGGCCAAGGCGAGGCTGCCGCCCGCCGGTGAAGCGGAATTACTAAGTTTTCAACCTCGCTCTGATACCATGTAAAAATCAATGTATAAAGGGTGTAGCGGAATTACTAAGTTTTCAACCTGGCTCTGATACCATGTAAAAAATCAATGTATAAAGAGAGAAATACAGAGAATATTGTATCTATTGATGTATTATTGTTTTATATTTTGAATGTTACAATGATTCCTATATATAGAAGAGTAGGTGGTAGTAGGTGGTAGATGGAATAGGTAAAGTGGAGGTGGTAGTGGTGTAGTGGGTTAGGTTTAGTGGAGTAGGTGAGGTGGTAGTGGTGTAGTGGGTTAGGTTTAGTGGAGTAGGTGAGGTGGTAGTGGTGTAGTGGGTTAGGTTTAATGGGTGAAGTAGGTGATAGGTTTGATAGGTTTTAACAGCCCCCCACAAACTCAAGGGGGATAGGAACTAACCAACTTGAGTTTGGAGAGAGTAACGAAACAAGAAAATACATAAAAATAAAAGAGGATAAGAGACACTGTATGGTCGTGTCAGACCATTGGTGAAGACACTGGATGGTGGTGTCATGTTTCACGATTTTGGAGTCTCGTGTTAGTTTTGTAAGTTTTCACAACTTACATTGGTCCCTCCTGAGGTGTTTGAGGTGTTCTTCGGGCCTTCTCGTGGCTGCTTTACTATTTTGGTCCCTTGATGGCATATTCTCAAGCTTAAGTGTGAAAAAAGTGTATTTTTTTACTTAGTTTTCAAATCGGGAGTCCTGTGCTAGTTTCGTTAGTTTCCACAACTTACATTGGTTCCTCCCGAGGTGTTTATGATGTTCCCTAGGCCTTCATGTGGCTATTTCACGATTTTAACCCCCGATGGCCTATTTTCAAGCCTAAGTGATGGAAAAATGCATATTTCTACTTAATTTTCACGCCGGGAGTCCCGTGCTAATTCTGTAAGTTTTCACAACTTACATTGGTCTCTCCTGAGATGTTCAAGGTGTTTCCCAGGCCTTCTCATGGATGTTTCACGATTTTGACCCCCGATGGCCTATTTTCAAACCTAAGTGTTAAAAAAGTGCAGTTTTCTACTTAGTTTTCATGCCAAGAGTCCCGTGCTAGTTCCGTAAGTTTCTATAAGTGTATATTTTAAAATTAATTTTTATACAATTCATTAATGACATCGTGTGATGCAGAGGATTAAATAACCAATGAGAGCATGGAACAATGCAGAAGCCAAAGCAATTCCAGTATCCTAGGTTTTCTGAGTTAAGAACCAAGTGGGAAAGTTAGTCCCATTTGAGGTAACCTCAAATTGGGCTCAAGAAGGCCTTTTAGACACATTTGTGCCTTGGTTTCTTTCTTCTAAGATGAATTTTCACTTTAAATTTGGGATTTTTGTGTCCTGTTTCTTTCTCTTTCATTTTGTCTTTGTTATGGGAAGCAAGGACATCAAATGCTATTAAATTAAGATGACCGCTATCGAGTTTGCATGATTGCAAGACTTTAACATAAATGATTGTCCAAAAAATGGGCCAAACAGTGACTTGAGCCTATTTCATAGACAATGACTTTGAAAAATTGAACAGAAACCATCATTTAAAAGTGCGACAATATTTTAAAGATTTATATCATCCTTAACATCAAACAATGCATACATCGATAGCTTTCTAGATATGAACCAAGAAATTAGAACACTTGATTTACTATTCATATATCATATTTATGCTATTTTTTCCCCCTAGGTGAGATGGTATCTATAATAAAACATATAAAAACTAAAGAGTAATATGTGTCATATTACCTGTTGGTAGTTGTAATACATGTCACGTTTGGATATGTTGATTCTCTTTACTACATCAAGATTATAATCAAACCACCAAGCTCAAATACCCCTACTAAGTATGATCCTATTTCTAGGTACTGCACTCTATGACCATCATCCATGATCCCCATGCATGTTGGAAAAAGATGGTTAATCCTGAGGTATGGAGTGTTTTGTGTTTCATTGAGTATGCACAATCTGAATGTAAAGATTTTTCCTCTTCAAGTAAAAGCTATCGAGGCTCATTATTAGTATGTCACATCCTCTTCAAGTAAAAGATGAACATAACTGGGACATCAAAAACTTCCTAAGGCTTTTCTGATGGAGCATGTCACATCCGCTTCAAATTATCAATTGTAAAGATTTTTATATGCATTACTATCCAGTAAAAAAATATAACCTTAGACGGCGACACAGGTAGCAGACTTTAAGAAAGAAAGAACACATAATTGGTTTTAATACAACAAGGGAGAAGGACAAATTTTATTATTAAAATGGATTAGGAATAATACATTACATTATTTTGTTTTACCTAGTTTGTCAAGGTGGATAATTTGTATCCAACACTTTTTTTTTTTTTAAAAGAAAAAGAAAAAAAGAGTATTGTGGATAATAATTTAAGATGCATACGAGCAATAGTCATTCACATTCTGTCATTGTACCTAGGAGAGCATGATTATCTATCTCCAATTTGCCCACCAATAATAAATTTACCAAAACAATTATTGGTGCTATTCATTAAGGACATGAACAACAGGGCATAAAGTGACTGTTCAAATATTTGAATATGCATTCCCATGCTTGCCAACTAAAATTTCATCATTCCACCAAGCAAAGTCTTCTTAACAACACGACTTAAACGAAATACAATAGAAAGTGATTCTTTACACTTTGTGGAATGCTTGATTAATACATTTTTTATATGCTATTCCACTGCTTAATGACTACAAAACTGTGTATTAAAGTTCATTATTTTCAATCTTCTTCATTTGTGTGAATTTAGTTTTCCTTACTTTTTTCACTTGAATAATGTTGGTTTTGGTAGAAGGTAGACAATGGGATAAATCACATAGAGATGACTACGAAGGTTTCCCTATGAGTTCAATTTAAACTAGAACAGAGATCAATGATCAGAAGTACTTCAAACCACTTATTCATTAAACCAACATTAGTGAACCCAAGAAGAAACCAAAAAAAAAAAAACAAAAAAAGAGGTTCCCTAAAATGATTCCAATAGAACAACTTATTGAAATAATATACACTTCCACAACGCCATATGAATAGGTTCTTACAAGTTTAATATGGTCCAAACACAAAAAATAATGCTAGTCATGGAATTTAGTTGTAGCTACTTTAAAGTCATCATGAGGGTAGCATAAAGGCTAATGCAACACTTACCTACATAATTATGCATGTTCTTGAGATTTTATCAAAGCAACGACACTTTCTTCAGCCAAGGCATTCGCTTTCCGTGATTCACTTTCTGGACAACAAATTGCATGAAGATGGGTGGAGATAATTTGCATTCTTTTTGCTGATTACAAAAGAAGAAGAAAAATCCAGAAATAAAGGATTTACAATCGTTATGTATTGGATAAGCAGCAAACTGAGCATGCCTATCAACTCTCCCAACTTATTGGGTTTCATTGCATGAATCCTTTCTAACCATTGTATACAATATCGTGAGAGCCTAGGTGTGGTTCATATGATTAACTAACACGTACCGAAGCAAGGACACAACCAATCATGCATAAATCCAAGAAACATTTATAAAACAGAAAATTTCAGCACATAAAATTTACTTAAATGTGCCAAAACACGGTTTAGAGAAGGAATAAAGCCCTAGCTCAAGAACACAACCACATTCCACATAACTTCTTTCCATTGTCTAATACAACATATTGAACAACAACAGCTCAATAAAAAATACATGTAGCCACGCCAAATGGGCATGAATAAATATGTTTTGAAACCCATTAAATGAAAGAATGCATCAACAAGAAGCCATGGCAAATTAGATGCAGTTTTGTATATAAAACTTACCTGCTGAGCAAGTCTCTAGGTGTTTTTAGTTTGGTTTCAGAAAAATAAAAATAAAACATATAAGAGTACACAATCAGGTAGATTTCAATGGGGGAAAAAAAAAGCAGAGATTTAAATTAATCTAAATGCAAAGCTTAATCAAGCATTGCACACAAACAGAGTACATAAATAGTTTTATTGGGAACAAATCGAAGCAACAAACAATCAAGAAATATTTCATAAAAAAATAAAAAATAAAAACCAGATATTAAATATTCATCTAGAACAAGAACTAAAATATAACCAACAAAGACCTTATAACATATTCTTTCAATTCTATTTCCAATCAATGAAAAGGGTTTTTTGGAACCCAACTAGGTCTTCATACACTCACACACACACTCAAGTAGGTGTATGTGTCAAGGCAATGGAATATAAACAACAACAAGAGCAAAACAATGAACAACTAGGCCGAGACACATTGAAAGGAATTCTGTTATGCATCCTCCTACCCATTAGTCGAAGAATTTCATTTAAGGTCAAACCATCATAAGGTATATTACATGGGAGAATTTTTAATTCGAAATAAAAACAAATTATCAAAGAGAGAAAGGGAGGAAAAAGAAATGTTAGAACAATCAATAACTACATAATTTGAACTTAGCAAAAAGTCCCAAATTCCATCATCCAAACAAATTAAATGTTCATTTGAATGCATCATCTTATAAATAGAGCCCTAATGGAAACACACAGTGAAAACCCCAAACAAAATATAAAACAATTTAAGAAGCTCCAATCCAATCCAAACACAAAAGAGGAAAATTCAACTCAACATCAATCTCATATAAACTCAACAACCTTCAATCCAAACATACTGCATAACCTACACTA